GCTTTCAGGAAGGACGGGGCGGGCGAGTGGCGGTGACTTTCTGGGGACACCCCGGGGACACCCCGGGGACAGTGTGGGGACACCCTGGGGACACGTCCCCTGGGGTGCCAACCCCTGGAGGGTTCCCCACTCCAGTCCTGGGTGCTCCCAGCTCTGTTGAGACACGGTGGGCAAGCTGAGTCCGGAGGGTCTTGGTGGAACACACCGCCCAATCCACTTTTTGTCCCCCAGTTTTTAGCAACTGGGCAAACTGGAGTTAGTGGAAAGGATATTTGGGGTGCTGTGCCCTTGACCACCCTCCATCCCAATGCCAGAAGGATGCTCATGAGTGGGCATTGGGCTGAGGGAACTCTTACCCTCACCCCGACAACCTGGGGGTCCCCCAGGGCTGATTTCCCAGCTTTTTCCTTTGTAAATTTCCAGCTCCCAGAATCAGGAGATTGGGGTGCCTTTGGAAGAGGGTGGCAAGCCCAGGAGACTCAGAAAGCCCCGTTGGGCGCCAGCACAACCCCCCGCAGAGTATTTTACATCTATCGTGTGGTTTTGCGGCACCGGCGGGCGATTTTGGGGTGCAGGGGGGCAGCTCCTAAGAAGGGAGCGGGGCTCGGCTGGCGCCGTGCGCAGGGGAGGCCTATTTATAGCCAAAAATGTCTGTGGAGTGTCAGCACGTGTGCGTGTCTCCGGCTTGGGTGACATGGGACAGTCCTGGCACGGCCAGCGTGTGTGGCCCTGGGGAAGCCCAAATTCTCCGGGGCGGGTGAGAGCGTGGCTGGGGAGCCCTGGCCGGAGCGGGGCAGCGCGGCGTGGAGAAGCGTGCCGTGCCAATGCCCAAGCGCCCCGTGCTGTGCGCGCGGTTTGTCCGTCTCGCCGAGCGGTGAACGCATCTGCTCCGGATCTGGCCTCTGCGCCTTGGCAGGTCAGGAGCTTTTGGGGGCTGGGGATGCCCCCGCGGATCCTGTCCCTTCGCCAAGGAGCAGCGTGGCTGCCCGTGTGGCATGGTGGAGCCCCCCCCCCCCCCCCGCCAAAATATCCCGGTGTTTTGGTGAAGCGGAGCGATGGAGATGTGCCTGGCTGCGGGTGGCGGTAATGGGGCAGCATTTTGGGGCGTTTTGGGGGATCCTGATGAGTTCTTGTGCCCTGGGAACGGGTTTTCCAGCAGCACGCTGCGGTGGCAAGGGATGAGCCAGGGAATGGGTTTGAGGGTGCCATGGGTGCCAGGCGCCGACCGCTGCCCTGGCTGCCCTCGGGGTGTGGGGGGACGTCACCTGTGCCCGGTGGGGGGACCGTGGCGACGGCACAGTGCCAGCCCCTCGCCGGGAAGTGCTGATTCACCGTGCCGAGTCGCTGGCCGGGGAAGGCGACGCTGCCCGGGCCGCGGCTGCAGGATGCTGGCGGTGAGGCCGGCACGCCGGCACTCCCAGCTTCCCGCACGCTGAGCAGGAGGAATGACAATTCCCAAGTGGCGGGTGCCGGTGGCGGCGTGGCTGTGCCAGGGAGGGATGCTCAGAAGGCGCCGGTGCGGCGGAGGGAGATTTAAAGGGTGGGTGAGCACCCGCGCTCAGAACGCTCCCGTGGGCCTGCTGTGGCTCCCTTCAGCGTCATCTCCTCCTCCTCCTCCTCCTCTCTCTCCTCCTTGGATGCTCGCGGCCGTGGCTCTGCTGTCACGTTGTTGGGGACACAGTCAGAACTGAGGTGCCCTGCAGACACCCGCCACAGCTCAGCACACCCATCCCACTGGCAGTCCCCAAAGTTCTGGGGGGAAAGTCCCCAAATTTGGGCTCCCACAGGGCTTTCCTGCCAGGGGGAGCCAGGTGCTCCGGCAGTGGCCCAGAGCCACGGCATGGGGGGCTGCGGGCCCGGCTCCGATGCCCTCCTACCCGTTCCTGCATGTGCTCGTGTGCCTCCCGTGTGTGTCCCATGGCCTGGCTCATGTGTGCACGCTCTGGCATGTTCCTGCGTGTCCTTGGTCATATGTGCACACTCTTGCACGCTCTGGCATGTTCTTACATGTCCTTGCTCTCACGTGGATGCTCTGACATGCTCTGGCACTCTTCCACATGTCTTTGCTGACATGTACATGCTCTGGTGTGCTCCTGCCTGCCTTTACCCGTATGTGCATACTCTGGCACACTCTGGTATGTTCCTGCATGGCCTTGCTCACACATGCACACTCTTGTACACCCTGGTATGTTTTTACACATCCTGCCTCACGTGTGCACACTCTGCCATGCTTCTATATGTCCTTGCTCACTCTTGCGCGCTCTGGCACGTTCCCGCTCATGCTCGCTCCCGTGGACACACTCTGTCACACTTCTACACGCCCTTCCTCACACATGCATGCTCTGGTGTGCTCCTGCATGCCCTTGCTGCCGTGTCCACGCTCCGGCATGCTCCTCCATGTGCTTGCACACTCCCGGTGCCACCAGCCCCGAGCCAAGCCCTGCCTGCACTGCCCCGATTAGGGTGCGGAGTTGGGGTGCGGTCCAGCCAGGCCACCCCGATAACACCACCCAGGGGGACCTGAGGGGATGCAGGGGGTGCCCCGAGGGGTTCCAGGGGGGGTCTGGGTGGTCATGTGGTGTCACAGCTCACAGGCACACCAGTGGTTTTGGGGCACACAGGGTTCCCCCCAGCACCCCCAGCTGAGGGCTCCATGCAGCTCCGGGTTGCCAGGGGTGGTCCTGGATGTGTTACTGGCTGTGGGGAGCCAGAGCCCATCTCCTCACACCCCTCCGGGGCCCCAGCAGCCACCGACAGCTGCTCGGAGGCATTTTTAGATACCAGCCATGTCCTATCTGTGTCTCAAATGTCCCCGGGGGTGGGTGGCCACCCCCGCTGGCAGCTGTCACCCACTTTCTGCCACCAGTGTCGGCGAAGCCCCTCTGTTGTGCAGGGGTTGGGGTGGGGGTGAGCAGCACCCGCTTCCCTAGGGGCAAGCAAGATGGGGACAAATCACACTGGCATGACTTGGATCGGGGTGCTAGCGGGGCAGGAGGGACCTGGGTGGGGACACAGCACCGTAAACAGCCATCAGCACGGTTCAGCACAGCTCAGCACGGGGGGTCCTGGAGCACGCAGCACCCAGGTGCCCCCCCAACACCTGGGTGGGGTGAGGCTAAATCCCTCTGAGCAGCTTATCCAGCCGCTCTGAGCCGCAAATCCCCACGTGCCAGAAGGGCCGCGAGGCCGCCGCAGGCCACGCTGATAGTGCTCAACGTCCCGCTGACCCAGTGGGCCTCTCGGCCGGTAAGCCGACGGCCATCGGGGCCGGGGGGACCCGGGACCATGACCTCGGCCAACGACTACGAGCAGCTGGAGCTGCAGCAGCAGTACAGCCGCATCAACGTCCGCTGGGACGCGTCCGACGATGAGCTGGACAACGACAACAGCTCGGCGCGGCTCTTTGAGCGCTCCCGCATCAAAGCCCTGGCAGGTGGGTGCCGGGTCCCCTTGGTGCCCCTGGGTTGTCCCTGCTGTCGGTGACCCCGTGCCCGCTGTCCTTGCAGATGAGCGGGAGGCCGTGCAGAAGAAAACCTTCACCAAGTGGGTGAACTCGCACCTGGCTCGTGTCACCTGCCGCATCTCGGACCTCTACATGGACCTCCGGGACGGGCGCGTGCTCATCAAGCTGCTGGAGGTGCTGTCAGGAGAGCTTCTGGTAGGAATCCCATCCGGCTGGAGACCCTGGGACCCATGCCATGCCATGCCATGCCATGTCATGCCAGCTGTTCCACCAGGGCGTTGACCTTGGCGTTGGCCAGGCATTGGGGTGGCAGCGTGGGCATGGGGGTGTCCCGCACGGGGTTTGGGGTACCCGGTGTGGAGGGGAGGGTGCTGAACCCTGTTGTGCCCCAGCCCAAGCCCACCAAGGGCCGGATGCGGATCCACTGCCTGGAGAATGTGGACAAGGCGCTGCAGTTCCTGAAGGAGCAGCGGGTGCACCTGGAGAACATGGGCTCCCACGACATTGTGGATGGCAACCACCGCCTCGTCCTTGGCCTCATCTGGACCATCATCCTCCGCTTCCAGGTGGGAACAGGTGGCTTGGGGCACCCCTCAGCTCCTCACCTCATTCCCAAGCAGGAGCCATCCTCCGTGGAGCTCCTGTTCCAACCCCAGGATGTCCTTCTGTCCCCCAGATCCAGGACATCATTGTGGAGACGCAGGAGGGCCGGGAGACACGCTCTGCCAGGGATGCACTGCTGCTCTGGTGCCAGATGAAGACGGCAGGGTAGGTGCCCCACACCTCTGCTCCGGGGTCCAGCAGTGTCAAGAGGGTGACAGTGACACCCTGTCCCCATCCCTTGGTGCTTCTCTGCGAAAAGTCCCCCCCCCCCAGGTACCGGCGGCCCTACGTTTGAATGTACCAAATCTTCATCAAGTCTTGGAAGGACGGGCCTGGCTTCAATGCTCCTCATCACAGGCACAGGTATGGTGCATGGCGGCAGGCACCAGGTTTGTGGTGGCACCTGGAGTGGTGATGTCCTCGGCGTGTATACGCTGTCATCCATGCCCATCCATCCGCCAGGCCTGAGCTGGTTGACTCCATAAACTGAAACCAAGATCCAACGCCCGAGGCACATACCTGGAGCACTCGTTCAGCGTGGCAGAAGCGGGCACCTGGCATTCACACACTGCTCCTTGACCCCGAAGGATGAGTCTGTGCTGCCCATCTCCTGCTCAAAGTCCTCTGCTGGGACATTGCCAGGCTCCGTCGAGTGCAGAGAGGTTCCCAGCCCACGGAAAGGAAGGAGGGTCTGGGTGGGCACCGGGGAGGCCTCACGAGGCTGTGGTGGCCTGTGGAGTGGGTGGATGTTGGGTCAGGAGTGACGCCTCTTGTTTGTGCCGGGCAGATGTATTCACGGAGAACCCTGACGAGAAGTCCATCATCACCTACGTGGTGGCCTTCTACCACTACTTCTCCAAAATGAAGGTGCTGGAGGTGGAGGGAAGGCGCCTGGGCAAGGTAAGGGACAGTGTTGAGGTGGTCGGGGGGGTTCTGGTGGGGTGTCGGCCCCCCGCGCTCACCGCTGGTGCCGCTGCAGGTCATCGAGCACGCCAAGGAGACGGAGCGGATGATCGAGGGCTACGGGGGGCTGGCATCTGACCTGCTCACCTGGATCGAGCAGACCATCGCCTCCCTCAACAGCCGCAGCTTCGCCAACTCGCTGGCCGGGGTGCAGCACCAGCTGCAAGCCTTCAGCACCTACCGTACCGTGGAGAAGCCCCCCAAGTAAGAGTCCCCCACCCTCCCCATGCCTGCCTGGCAGTGCGGGGCACCCAAGGGTGGCCACTGAGCTCTCTCCGGGGCAGGTTTCAGGAGAAGGGTAACCTGGAGGTGCTGCTCTTCACCATCCAGTCACGGATGAGAGCCAACAACCAGCGCGTCTACACCCCGCACGAGGGGCGCCTGGTCTCCGACATCAACCGGGTATGGGGTCCATCTCCTGGGG